TCAGTAGCACTCATGTCAGAAGCAACATCGGGGTCAAAATCAAAGATCTCTATATCACGGACATGATCAATATTAACTAACAGCTTAGAATCAGGTAATAAAGATGAATCAATTGCATCTGTAACATCAATCACACAAGTAACTGAGAGAGTCTATGTGAATCAACAGAAGTACTAGATGAGGAATCACTAAAAATGCTAAGGCTATAGCATAGACAGGCATAGAAGAATCAAAACTAGAATGTCTAAAATCTCAATGAAATCAGTGAAAAACATCAATATTAGCAGCATCTATACCAGTGTATGTATCTCAACTACCAATTTCAGAACATGAACAAGAGATAGAATTATCTAAGCCAATAATATCAAATGATCTAGTTATCATACTATCTCTAAAATCTATGACAGTATTATCAGTGATAACATCAATAAAACTAACATCAATCTCAGTACAGCTATCAGGTGGATCTCTTATAGAGTCAAGCATATCAAATCTAATGATTTTACCAGCAAATTCCATAGTAAGAGTACCAGCATGCACATCTATCATAGCCCTAGCAGTCTTAAGAAATGGTCTACCCAAAATCAAAGATGAATGTCCCTTTTGCCTAAATCTAGCATCATCCATATCAAGAACATAGAAGTCTGCAGGAAATATGAGATCTTTTACCTTAACCAAGACATCCTCCAAGACTCCTTCTGGAACTACACAGCATCTATTAGCAAGGGAAGCAATTAGATTTGTAGGCTTAAGATCCACACCTTGCAGTTGAGCAAAAACTGATTTTGTCATGACATTGATAACTGCTCCTAGATCTGCTAAAGTATATGAAAACTCAATGTTGCCAATGGTGCAAGGTATGAGAAAGCTACCAGGATCCTTGCACTTCATTGGCATTGGCATTTGATAAAGAGAAGAGACAACCACCCATAAGTCAACTTTCCTATCATGCTTAAACCTTCTCTTGGTGATACACAACTCCTTCAAAAACTTTGCATACTTAAGCACTTGTACAGCTAGATTAACTAATGGAACATTGATCACCACCTTTTTAAAGATATCATAAACCTCTTTGAACATCTTAGTTTCTTTCTTTCTCCTTCCAGCTCTAATCACCCCTATAGGAAAAGGTAAGACTTGCTCACTCACTTTCTTCTCTTCCCCATCTTTTTGTTGCTCTTCTTGCAATTCCACATGTGGTTTTGATAAAGTGGACTTATTATGCGATATGGAAGTAGGGGGAGAATTTTTAATGATAGCTTTCTCATCCTTTGAAGCATAAGTAGTGATAGGATCTGCGGAGGTAATTGAATTTCTGCTTCTGAGAGATATAGTATTAACTCCACCATTGTTAGGATTCTGCTGGGTGCCAACATTAGAGTTAACTACTACCTGAGATGGCAGCTTCCTTGAGCTTTGACTTTGCATATTACTAAGTACATTAGATAACTGCCCAATCTGAGTTTGAAGATTTTGAATTTCTTGGCTATGTTGCAAATCCTTTATTCTAACTTATCTATCAGGAGTTTCATCATGCCTTCTAACTTTGAACTCTCATCTTGATTGGGCATAGTTTGCCTAACTGGTTGGAACATTTTACCACCAGAAGAGTTTACACCTTGATTGAACTGTGATTGTTGAGGCTGGCCACTCCCATATCTGAGATTTGGATGGTCACGCCATCCAGGGTTGTATGTATTTGAGTAAGGATCATATTTCTGGCCACCTTGAGTCATAGGCTTAGTGTGGTATATTGTATTACACGAGTTAACTCCGTCATTTAGGTAAGGGCAAGAGTCAGTGGTGTGAGTAGCTAGAGAGCAAATAGATCAAAGTGGCTCAATTAGAGCTGTAGAGTCAGCTTGTGGGATGAAAGGGGAAGAAGATCCCACAGAAGGAGCCATATTTTGGGAGTTTTTAATGTGAAATACAACCATTTTCTAATCTGGTAACTTATCAATTTTGCCCTCAAGATGAGACTCAAAATAAGATGAATGCAATTCAACTTTATTTACTCTAGCTTGCTACCTAGTACCAAACTGTTGGGTATTTTCAGCTTTCTTTTCAATCAATCTCCAAGCAGTTTTAACAGTCAAGTCAAGAAGAGCACCTCCAGCAGCATAATCTAGTAAATCTCTCTCAAAAGGCAAGATCCCTTCATGAAAATATTGAATCAGCAATGTATCTAAAATTTGGCTATGAGGACAACTAGATAACAATGCCTTAAAGCACTCATAATACTCATATAAGGATTCCCCAGACATTTGTCGGCAACCTTCCTGATAGAGGAAGTACGAGATGCTGGGAAATACTTTTCCAGAAATGACCTTTTCAGTTAGTCCCATGAAGTAATGAATCTAGGAGGTAACCGAAGAAGCCAATTCTTCACAGAACTTTCCAAAGAAAGTGGGAAGGCAAGCATCTTAATCTGATCCTTAGACATACTAGTAGGCTTCATAGCAGTACAAATCATATGAAAAGTCTTCAAGTGATTATATGGATCCTCACTTGCAAGGCCATTAAATTTTGGAAGCAAGTGAATCAATCCAGACTTTAACTCAAAATCAGTGTCAATATCAGGATAATTAATGCACTAATTTTGAAAATGCAAATCAGGCGAAACTAATTCCTTGATTGTCCTAGCAGGATTAGCCATGCTACTGTTAGAATTAGAGAAATTAGCAGTTAACTTAACAGAAGAATCACTTCCTATAAGATTATTAGCTTGAGCTCTCCTTCTTTGATGAAAATTCCTCTCAATCACAGGATCAAATTCAAACAATTCTTTGCTAGAGGATCTAGTCATGCACTAAGCAACTATCACAAATCAAAGTGAAATGGGAGAAAAATGCACCAAAAAACCAAAACAAAAATTTACACAGAAAAAATATGCAAAATCACCTAGAACTCAAACCTAAAGTCTAACCATTGCTCCCCAGCAACGGTGCCAAAATTGATGATGCCTCTGTCGTCAAAGCACTCAATTAAACTAGCTCCTAATTAATTTGAAGTTTAGGATCAACCTAGGTCATTACTTCCAAGAAGCAAGTTATGGGTTTCTTTAGGTAAAAATTTAGGTGATAAAAAGAAATGCAATAAATTGGATCCTAACAAAAATGCAAAATTCTAATTCTAAATGCAAGATACAAATGTCCTAAAATCCGTAGGAAAATTAAATTAAACTAAATGAATGTAATGCAATATTTTTGGGGCGATTTTTTTGGAAAAAATTAAAATAATAAATAAGGAAAATTGACTAAAGAGCAAAGAAAATTAACAAGTAAAAAATCAAGAAGTTTCTCTTCAGGTAAGGTAGTGAGGACAACTTAGGATTTGCATGGATTTAACCTTCATAACCTTAATCAGTTAATTAGACCAAAGGAAAGTGATAAGAGAGTGGAATTAATAAACTTAATTACCTACTTAAAACAAAAAGAACCCTCAATTTCAAAAAAAAAAGAAACCTTAAACTATTAGAGAACTCGTAATAGTATAAGGTTGGTTAATTAAGCTTATTAAAAACCAATGAAAACAACTCAAATTAATTTTGGAAATTATGTTTGAAATTATCCAATTAAACAATTAGACAATTAACCAACTTAATTAAACAATTAGGAGGCAAAATAACCCAAATTTTGCAATTCAAACCATGTTGATAATTAAACTCATAATGAAAACTCAATTATAAATTCCTAAACATTAATTCCAACAAGTATCTCTGCACAAATAATATCCAAATATCAATCCAATCCAAGAATAAAAATGACAATCTAGAACTAAATTGTCTCAACAAAAATACAACTTAAAATTATTTAAAACTAAATAATTTCAAGTCCTTGAATTAAAGAGAAATGGAATATCACTCCCTTGTGGTCTTCAAGTGTTAGCCTAAGGCTCAAGCCTCCTCCATGCTCCTCCCAAGTTGTCTCCCTAATAAGCTTAAGCTGCCATCAAATTGTCTTCTCCTCTAAAATTGTTTGATGCTATGGCCATGAATTGATGAAAGTTGATGATGATGTGGAGATGGGAACTGGATCGCCTCAAGGAAATAGATGAATGTGAGAGGAAGATGGTTATTCAGTTAGTGGTAGGTTGCGTGACGTGAATGAGGGAAAGGAGAGAGTTGGCGTTAAAATTGTCCATTTGTGTGAATGGAGAAGGAAAAGTGATATTTAGGCATGTTGGAGGGATTATTTTGATGGGAGAAAAGGAAATTTTTATGGACCCAAAGCTCAAGTCCATTAGTAATTAATTGGCCCACTTGATATTAGCCATTGGATTGTGCTTAAATCCCAAGAAACAATCTTGGACCATTAGATTTCCTATATGTTCTTTCTTGACCTACAAGAATTTAAGTGCATTCATTAATGTAGATTATATCCAAAGATAATCAAAAATTAAATATTAAATATGTAGAAAAATTAGGTAAGAAATTGCAAAACTTTCTAAAATTAGTCTTTCTAAGAATATGAGACTTGTTTCCAAAGAAATAGGAAAAATTAATTCCAAATCAAAAATAGGAAATCACAAAATATTTATATTTTTAATTTAAAATCTCAATTTTTATGCAAAATCCAAAAATCAACCAATTAATCTAATGGTGCACAAAAGTCACATTAAGCTCAAAATTATCATTTAAATCCTAAATTAATGTGGGATAAAATGTATAAAAGTTGGGCTTTATCGTGTGATTTTATGTGTTTGTGATTTTGATCCCTTGATTTGGTTCACATTGCAAGTAGCTTATATTAACATTCTGCTCATTCTAGATTCGTCACTATGGTGAACCCAATGTTAGAGGAGATCATGTTACTTACTTATTGAAAATCCTTCCTTAAACCCCCTTTAGTATGCATTCAAAAGCATTACAGTTCAAAGTAGATCACAAAATAGGCTCATAGATTGAAATTTTGAAATTTGATTCTTGGGTTACTATTCACTAAAATTTTTTGTATTTTTAGACTAACTTTGAAAGCTCATAACTAATTATAAAAATATTGTATTGAGGTTATCTAAGTCTCTATTGAAAGCTCTTTCAATTTTCTAGGAAGAATATAAATCTGGACTTAAACCTTCTCAATTCGTACAGTTAATTCGTAGAATTTTATTGTTAAACTGGTAAACATTGTACTTTCCAATTTCTTTACCCTAACTTTGAACAATCATATCTCTTAGTGGACATATCCATTTTAAGTGATTTACCACTTGTTTCAAATTTAGCGTGTGTACTTTAAGCGTACTAGATTTCACGAGTAGATTCAATCATTTACATCACTTCCACTTCATCAAAAACTCGAAGCTTATTTGGGGATAACTTATCCCCTTACTTGTATTAATAATGCATAAATATTCATTTTTTTCATGCAATCATTCCATCAATCTATTATCTATTCCCATACATTAAATTATTTAATTTTATATACCAATATCATCAATCCTCATTTCATAACATTAATAGCATGTTTAATCACACATTAAAAACAAATGGGAATTCATTACATAACATAATCTAATTCATTATTTTTTTCAATTCTTCCCTTCATTCTTGCATTTCCACATCTTGCATTCTTCTTTTCTTGCATATCATACCTATTGTGGTTGTTTAAGGGAGGCAAGGTTCAGGAGAATCTCAATAGTAAATATTACCATTATTCACGTAAGATAAATGCAAGTGTATGTCATACTTGGTTACACATATTTTCATGTCCATGAAATGTCATGCTCATATACTTAATGTTTCAAACACACATTGTCATGGATTAAATAATAAATAGAGCAACATTTAACCATTCATATTTTTATTCATCATCAAATAACATCAACACATAAGCATAAACATCAAGCATACAAAATAGGTAAGTTTACTACCTTGAAACCTTTAGGCTTTCTCCTTATTTCCTTTGCTTTCAACCATCAAGATTATTTAGAAAACCCTTCTATTCATCTTTCTTGGTGTCTTATGGCCCTAAATTTACATTGCAAATTAATAGCCGATCCATCAAGACCATGAAAACTGCTAGCAACCCTTAATTCTCAAACTTGTTTCTCTTTAACTTGATTTTTTCCCTTCTTATTCTTAACTTCTAAAATCATTCTCTTACCCATTTCCCACTCAATTTTTCATGAGGAATCAAAATATGAGCTTGGATTTAACAAAATCCAACTCCTTCCCCTTGAAACACTTAAGGCCAAGAGGTATCGAATCCAAAATTTTCACTCTCAATTCTAATGCTTTCAAACACATTTTCTCAACATAACCCTACATAATTTCATCTTCTAAGCTCATTAGAAGTATGAAAATCATCAAAATCCAATTATAGCCTCAAGAACAAGCCTTGAATGTAATATATCCTAGGTATATACCATGAAATCTTTCACAAATTATCCCAAAATCATTTAATTCTCATTCCTTTTGAACTTTTAAACAT